GACGTAAAGTCTCGCATCGCCGAAGTCCGAGATGCCAGATGGTCTGATTTCTTAGAAGGACTCGCGCCCTCCCAAAGGTCTTACTACCGCTTAGCTCGTACTCTCAAATCGGATACGGTAGTAACTATGCCCCCCCTCGTAGGCCCCTCAGGCCGACTCGCGGCGTTCGATGATGACGAAAAAGCAGAGCTGCTGGCCGATACATTGCAAACCCAGTGCACGCCCAGCACTCAANCCTATAATACCTCCCGGTACTTTACTATTACAGGCAGCATTACTTAATATATTTACAATTTTTTTATACATTTTATCTAACAAACTTTTATGGTGTAGATTATCACAAAATTTATCTGCACATAATTCAAAATCATTTAAGAAGTCTAGGTTCTTCAATTCACTATTACATAAATCTAAATATTTATTTATTTCATTTATATTTCTTTCTCCCCAACGTATCCCATTACAAGCAACTTTAATATCACACCTTTTCTCTCGTATAACATTTATATCACACATAATTTTTAATGGAAAGTGGTCTGACCAGAATGAATCATAAATAATCTCAATATCCAGGATTGCATTAGACGCAGACTGTGTAACAAGACAGTGATCAAGCCAACGCTTGCACCCATGTGAGTCACTAATAAAAGTATAAGTTTGTGACAATGCACCAAGATACTCTATGTCTGCAAATATTAATTCTTGCTCAGTACAAAAACCAATAAGCTCATCGCAAAAAGACTCACCAGGATGTGCGTTGAAGTCCCCCAACACAAATACTGTTTCAATATTACAATTTGTTATTAGAGAATACATTTCACCAAGACATTGTGTAAACATTGGTAAATTTTCATTGCAGTCTGTTGGCATATACATATTAATAACCATAAATGATCGATTACTAACTAATATTTTTACTGCACATATTCGATTACTCTGAATTTTCACTACAGATACATAATTAAATGCACTTTTTCTCCATAATATGGCAAGGCCTCCATAGGGTCTGCCTTTACAAATACCGGCTGAAGTGTCGACTGAGGACTTCCCAGTATAACTGAATTCTTCATGTATATTTCCAAGAAAAGATAAGTCATGGGGATATAGCCAAGTTTCTTGTAGCAATATAATGTCAGCCGTCTTGCACAATGTACGTACACAATTCAACGACCTTTTCACATTTTTGCAATTAAATGTAATTATATTCACTTTTGCAGTACTATCCATTTATATTGTTAACTCACCGCTTTGAGAAACGTTTTCTCCTTCTTTTTTTCTATCCCTAAAATGGATAAAACGTCTAAATGTAATTCCATCGGGCCACATCTCGTCGTTCAAAAACATTTCTAATTTGTTTTTGTTCACTAAAACTTTAAATGCATTATAGGATCTTTCCTTTTTCATTATGATTTTTTCCAACGAAACAGCTTCAGATGTTTTAAATTTAATATATTGGCAGATATCATCTTCGGTGGTCTCTTTGTTTACGTTAGAGATAAACAAAGGGATTTTGATTTCGGCCGCTTTAAATTTCTCGTTTAGTTTCGTCACAGCTTTCCCAGTTTTTCCCTCAAAACGGTTTCTGTACCTACGTTTTTGTACAGAAATCCATTCATCGTTTGGTTTATCTCTCATTATAAATTTGCCGTGTCTTACTATATCAGCCATAGTGGGCTCCTTCGACTTTGAGGTTATATGGTTTTGTATTCTGTCATTATGAACTATATGTTGACAGTCCGATGATTCTGACATTTGTGCGCATATTTCACGTTCCATCGACATCGAGTTATTGGAAGCAAGCGTACTTGCCTGATCTGTCTTAGTTTGTGCAGGAACGGAAGTTAAATTCTTAAATGACTCAGCACGTTCCGGGTTCGGGCTTGTCGTCACTTTGTTACCGGCCGGCGATAAAACAGCCTCTACACTATTTTGTACATACCCCCTTTTTTTCGTATTTATATTACAGTTTAAATATGGAGTTGTTGACCTGTATGATTCCAAATTATTTTTTAGCTCATCTAATTGCTTTGTTGTTGCGTAATTTTCTTTAATGCCATTAATATCAGCACGCATAATTATCAAGTCTTTTAGCAATTTGGTAACATCTACATGATCAAATGTTACGGGCGGTAATTTTTGCAAGTCACGCGCTACAAATATTGGTATTGTGTCAGGTTCGGTCACTTTGAAAACACATATTATATCTTCTAGATTCCTTTGCTTCCATCCCAAAAAAAAAGAATATTGCGACTTTACATAACAAATAAAAAAATAATTAAGAAGCCTTTATTTCGTACAAGTAACATAAAAACAAAAATTAATGCAATGTGATCTATGCTATTACTTAACTAATAAATAATATCTTTGTTGAATAATATTAGGTATTATTTCCCACTTGCAAGAACCCCTCCTCGGGTAAAGGCCTCCTCCAAGCTTAGCCAATCTTATCTAGATTGCGCAATTTTAACCCAGTTTGTAGTTGCTACTTTCTTTATATCGTCTTCCCATCTAGTATATGGTCTTCCCCTCTTTCTTTTTACTAGTGGGCCCATCCATATTGTTACCTTTTTTGTCCATCTCTGGTCCTGAAAGCGTGCAACATGTCCAGCCCATTTCCATTTTAAAGTTAAGGCTTGAGCTAGCACATCAGTTGCTTTGCTAATTTTTCTGATTTTTGACGGATTTTCTGTATTTTCTTTAAATTTAGCTGCTATTTTGTTTTTTATATTGTTACTGAACTTCCATGTTTGACATCCGTATAATAAGCAAGGCAGAAGGTAAGAATTTAGAACTTTAGTTTTGAGATTAGTAGGCAGGTTACTCTTACGCGACTGTACATAATAAAATGCAATTGAAGCTTCAAACTCAAGTCGGCGTGCAACATTTCTGTCTATCAACTACGGCAACCAGAGCTCATTAAAAAATCTTTTAGCTCTTACGCTATTCAATATGAAAGGATGAAGTGATATGCAAACCCATGATTTGTCGATTGATTAGGCGACTGTCGGTCTAACGGTATGAGGCACGGAGTGGTATTAATAGGAGGCAATCTAAGCAAATCAAAGATAATATAAAAGGTACGCAATAGTCAATTATATCTTATACTTATTTAGGGGACAATAATTATTAGGAAACCTCTAGTTTTTGAACGTGTGTTATCGTGTATAGCGGCCTTATCATTAGATATTTCGTTTGTTTGTTTCATTATCAGTTGTACCTTTATCTTAATTATTTTGAGATGGCCGTCTTCATGCTTGGCAACAACTAACGAAGATATTACACATAGAGCCGAAAGTACAACGTCGAAGAAACTACACATTTTTGTTTAATTGGTTACTATCGTAATTTTGTTCTTGTGAATAGTTTGAATGATGAAACAATATAAAAAACGAAACCCGCTAGACTGATTCGGTTGTATTCGTAAACCTTGCTCGGAAGGTTTACGAATACAACCGAATACGGCTGCGACAACTTTTCTAATGAAATATGTGCTTCACACATATAGGTACATATTTTTTTTTTTAATGAATGAGGGATTACTGTTAGTCCGGAGGCCTAGGCCAGATGGGCGAGCAAAGGCTCAGCCAGGGGGGGTGGGATTTGTTAACAGGTGCCCGAGTGCCTCCAAAGGACACCTAACAACTCAAGAGCAGCTGCTTCACGAATGAATCTACTACCGGATCGCGACCCGCTGAAAAGATCTGGCGAGAAACTCAGCGGGCTGATGCATGGGTTAGGTTGCAGGTCGAACTGTTATCCGAGTTCGACGAGTAGGGTTACCGGGGTCCCTAAGCCTGCTCCTAGTGTTAGAGCTGAGGCCGTCTAATGCAAGAGTTATTGGATCTGATGGATCCATAAGGACATGTCTGTGGCATCGATTCGGGGAGCAGTTAGCGACGGCCACGATAAGGCGATTTTCATAACGCAATGCCGTATCGAAGTAACGTCCCGACACTAACTTGATGTGTTTTCGTATCGATTCGAGGCCCAGGTCGTCGTGTAAGTCGATGTTCCTCGTGAACCACGGAGCTCCGACGGCTAATCTGCAAAAGTGGGATTGTAGGAATTGGAGGGTGTCTATGTGTGTGCAGGCCACGTGAGCGAACAGTTAACTTGCGTAAGTCATGACGGGCCTTATGCAAGTTTTGTAAAGTGTGACCTTGTACCGAAGGGACATTTTACTCCGCTTACATATCATGTGGTAGATAGAGTCTGCCGAGAATAAACATGGCCCGGTCGCGGACTGATTTTATATGCGGCCGGGATGTCATGGATGCATCCAGGGTGACTCCCAGGTACTTGACCTGCCTAGCCAAAAGAATGGGTTGGCCGAAAAGGGTGATCGCGAATGACTTCCATGATGAAGGAATAACGTTGTGTAATAAACCCGCAAATATTATAATTTGCGTAAATACCAGACGTCTTGTGAACTCACCCGGGTGGTTATTACCGCCTTTTTTATGGCCATTGTAGACAGACGAGCATACGGCCCAATTCATGGTAAGTGGTCACCGTCGCTTATGGACTTCAGCAATGCCAGGGGCAGAGCCAAGCCGCTGCCTACCATTAAGTACTCTCCGCAAGCCTCGTTTGAAGAAGGACATGTCATAGCGCTCGGAAAAAACCGTGGGGGGAAGTTCATTCCAAAGCCGGATGGTACATGGCAAAAAAGCCTGTCCTATTTCTGCCGCGTGGCAGTAATGCGTTCCGATTTGAAGGGTAGGGCGGCCGTTGTGTTATAGAACTGAGACTTAGAACTCATGCCTCAAGGTGGCATTTACGTTGTTGATGTCTATCTAACAACCTTACACTCATCTAAGCAATAAAAAAGGCCGAACTAAAAAGTTTTTTTTTAATAAGTAGTAACCACTTAACGTCGGGTGGGCCGGGCCGTGAGCTCGTCCACCAACCTAAGCAATAAAAAAAAAAAAAAACGAAAACGTGTTATCGACTGTGCTGTGGGTTTGCTGCTTGATTCATAAAAATGGAATCATTTTCAGATTGATGGAGCGACAGGACAATCCGAAACAAACAAGTCAGTGTTGCAAAGGTCAATACAGTGTGCCGTTTCCTTGACCGAGCTTGGACTAAAGAAAGGTGACGTCATCGTCCTTATGGGATACAATCATTTGGACTTGGCAATACCCCTATACGCTGCCTTATATTTAGGAATTATAGTTTTTAATGTCAATATGGAGATGACAGACAGTAAGTACCTACCTACATTAAGCGTATTTTTCGTACTCGCACATAAATTGTGACTAACGTACACGATTTTGAAAGTACCGACTGCACGAAAAGTAATGATGTGTTATTTAGTATTTGTAATTATTCAAATGCATTACGACTTACATCAAGAACCTGCACGTTTGGGCTCCACGATCCTGCATTAAGTAGCGAACCAAGGAACGAATATCGCTTTGAGAATCCTTTGGATCAATTCTATGCATATATGGGATGCCGATAAATCTATATTATTGCAAGAATGGTGACCTATTCTGACCACTAAAAATATCAAGAAGGAATAGATCCTTCTTTCTGTCCTGCCTCGGTGTATCCTTCAGAGAACGACTAAATGGGTCGCAATAACAAAAAATAAATAAATTAAGAAAGTGTTTTATATTGTAAATATCTGTTTTGAATATATGAAGGGTAGTCGTATATTGTGTGCTGGCAACTGCGAGAAACTACTTTTATAAGGCGCTAGTGGCACGTAGATGAGACACGAACGTTTTGACAGTTGAGACGGCGAATCGCCGGGTGGGGTATTAGTTCTTTATGAGCCGTTGCGCGGAGTGCTCTGCACGCAAGGCAGGGACTTTCAAGCCCAGGCAGAGGGGGTTGCAGCGAGGCCCGTCCCGCGCCCCTGTAAGGGGACGCGAAAACCCCGACAGTTGCTCTGTACGGACCACTGTCTTTAGGCAGTCAGAACTGCCCTATTTAAACCTGCTCCTAGTGTTAGAGCTGAAGGCGTCTAATGCAAAGATTATTGGATCTAATGGATCCATAAAGACGTGTCTAGGGCGTCGATTCGGGGAGTAGTCAGCGGCGGCCACGATAAGGCGATTGTCATAACTCAATGCCTTATCGAAGTAACGTCCCGACACTGACTTCATGTGTTTTCGTATCGATTCCAGGCCCAGGTCGTCGTGTAAGTCGATGTTCCTCGTAAACCACGGGGCTACGACGGCTAATCTGCAAAAGCGGGATTGTAGGGATTGGAGGGTGTCTATGTGTGTGCAGGCCGCGTGAGCGAACACTACCCCCGCGTAAGTCATGACGGGCCTGCAAGTTTTGTAAAGTGTGACCTTGTACCGAAGGGACATTTTACTCCACTTACATATCATTGGGTAGAGTCTGCCGAAAAAAACACGGCACGGTTGTGGACTGAAAACTGCAAAAACAGCTTGAGTGAAGCTAAAGTTGAATATAGGTTTAACTTCAAATTTATTGTTTTTTTTAGATACACTTGCACAAGTTTTCGCTTCGAAACAACCAACAGCTATATTTTGTCAGAGCAGGAATCTTGTTAACGTAAAAAATGCACTGAAGTTTTATAAGCAAGATATAAAATTACTTACATTCGATGATAATGATCAAAAGGACGTTTTAACTTTTTCTGAATTGATGACTGGTTTTGGTAGTGATGCATCGATTGGAAGCTTCGAGTGAGTAGATTTTATGTTTCTATTCCTGGCCTTTTGCGATCATAAGGCTCGGCCCACTTCAATATCAGTCATAGTAATGATAAAGGGACCTTTTCCGCTCTACTAGTTCTAATTATTTATTGTCGAAAAATAACTTCCCGGATCCCGATTCAAAAAACAGCTACCTAACCCAATTTAAATAGCTGTTGTGTTAGATAGTCTCCTCCCGGTGATAGTCACGGGACAACCTGAAGGGTCAAGGCTGCGCCGCACGCTGCCGTCACTGTAGCACGCCGGCACCAGGATGACGAGGACGACGAGGTGGTGGCCGTAGTCCGCGTTACCGTCGTCACCGTCGTCACCGTCGGACGTACTCCGGAAGAGCAGCCCGGTTGGTGATGTATCGCGTTCCGATCGTGCAGGCTTTTTCTGAACCAGTGGTATATTCCGGAGCACGAGCAACGCCAACCGAGTGGTTTGACGGGCTGCCAAGCCGCAGAGATCGGTGCCGTTGGTTGTCGTTGATCCGTCGGTCGAGCATCCTCGGGATAGCACCGAAACTCTGGTGTAATGTTGATCACGGGAACCCCCTACTGCCCGAGTTCTATCCCGAGCCGAGATCGGACATCAGGTGCGAGAGTGCAAAAGGAGTCCTAGGGAGGCCCTAAAAGCTTCCTTGGGCCCACGGTCCTCTCCCAGTAATTGCAGACCGTCAATACCGACATACCACGCGCGCCTCCTAGGCGCGGAAGCCTCATGCATGAAGTTCGGCCTCCTACACAAAAAAAAAAACAAAAATATCTTCTATGCATTAGGACCAACTGTTTGGTAATAGTCTATTTACTAATATATGTCTATTTGTTTATTTATTGATTTATTAGTGGAAATTTTTAATGCGGGATCCATCTATTGAATACCTAATCTTAGTTTTCCTGAGTTCCTGAGCAACCAGCCGATCCATCCAAAAATTAAACAGGACAGGAGATGTTAAGGTTCCCTGTCTAGCCCCACACTCTATCTTTTATGAATCAGAATACGTGTCCTCCCGCCTCACACAATTTTCCTTATGGGCCCATTGTTTTTAGGTCAACAGATTTTGATCCCGAAGAAACAATTGCTTTAATAACTGAAACTAGTGGAACTACTGGAGTGCCGAAGGGCGCTGCTCTTACGCATAAAAATTTAGTTATAGCAATTACTGCTAATTGGTAAGTATGATTTGACCGCTGAAGTAATTAATTAATTTTGAAGTCGTCGTGGCCTAACGAATAAGAAAGACGTCCGGTGCATTCGTGTTGAGCGATGCACCGGTGTTCGAATCTCAGGCGGGTACCAATTTTTCTAATGAAATACGTACTCAACAAATGTTCACGATTGATTTCCACGGTGAAGGAATAACATCGTATAATAAAAATGAAACCCGCAAAATTATAATTTGCGTAATTACTGGTGGTAGGACCTCTTGTGAGTCCGCGCGGGTAGGGACCACCACCCTGCCTATTTCTGCCGTGAAGCAGGAATGCGTTTCGGTTTGAAGGGTGGGGCAGCCGTTGTAACTATACTTGAGACCTTAGAACTTATATCTCAAGGTGGGTGGCGCATTTACGCTGTTGATGTCTATGGGCTCCAGTAACCACTTAACACCAGGTGGGCTGTGAGTTCGTCCACCCATCTAAGCAATAAAAAAAAATATATATATATATATATATATTAAAAATGGTATCTGAAAGAGCAGAATTTTCAGAACAAGAAGATATTTACTATTATTTAATTTTTGAAATGCAGCTCAGGCTGGATTTAGCAATTAGAAATCGTCACGTAATGAAAAAGCGCTAGTTTAGTTTATATTATCTGTCTCTTTCTATCATTTGTCAACGTTTCACGCCTCACCTACTGTAAAGTACTTGTCGGAGCTCATAGATATCTGTAAAATTAATGCCGACACTTTATCGACCTTAAGGCATGAGGTTGAAATCACAATTGCTGTATTTCACATCACAATTGCTGTATTGCCCCGCCCTTAAAATCGGAAATCCCATTTTTTTTAACTCAAACTGACTCATGACTAGTAAGGAATGCTGCTATTCCAGATAAGTCCGTTCTATCGTTCTGCTTATTTCTGTTAAGAAACAAATCATGGGTTCTGTCTGATTCAAATATTTTTTAAAGCTGATGGGCAAATAGTTCTGACCGAGCAGATGAAGTTTTTCTTTTTCTTTCCTTTATAGGGAAGTATCTCGTTTTTATAGTACTGGGAATCCAAATTGGGGGCCAGATGCCCCTGTGTGACTTACTTGTCTCCTGTTATTATTGTTGACTAGCTGACCCGGCAGACTTCGTAGTGCCTCAATCGATAAATAAAAGACCTAAGCTTTTGTATAAATTAAACCTAAAACAAACAAAAGGTATCCGTCCACGGAATAGATAAATAAGGTAAATAACCTTATTTATCTATTCCTTGTATCCGTCCGACGGGGGACACATCAAAGTAAAAACAAAATTTTGTATTTTTATTTAATTCCGAGCCTTTTCATATTTACCTTTAAAACTTGTCCCAATAGATTCACTAAGATGTCTAATGTGGCAAACAGAAATCGACGCGACGATAAACTATGTTTTCCAAAATCCAAAACTACATTAAAGAATAATAGTATACTAGATATGAGCGTTAGGATATTTAATAAACTACCGAAGAAATTAAGAGACTTAGATGATTTTAATTTTAAAAAAAAACCTAAAAGGTAATCTTATTAGTGAAAATTACTATCACATAAATGATTTTCTTAGGGATGACATTGAAAATAAATGGATTTTTAATTATTAGTTGAATTAGTTGAAATTGAAAAAAACCTTCTCTGGACTTCCATAAATAATTCAAGACCAAAATTAGCCAAATCGTTCCAGCCGTTCTCGAGTTTTAGCGAGACTAACGAACAGCAATTCATTTTTATATATATATAAGTATAGAAGATTAAAATTTCGATCTCGGGTCATCGTTAGCATTTATGACCGCAATTACGGTTTAATGTCTACGGAGTTCATGCCGGATAAATCTTGAGTTCGTCTACAGACCAGAAAAAGAGCACAATAAGCTCCCAAATCATCTGGAAATTTCATATATTGCATTTTGTAAATTAACATACTATTCCAGGAGAAACTTTGAAAAGTTCCCCACGCCTATAAAGTCGTTGTTAATTGTAACACCGCTGAATTGGATTTCAACAACCTCATATGTTTTGTCTTCATCGATACTGAGATACAAAAGAATTCAATCATCAAAACCAACAACTATAGAACACATTTGCGACCTTATTAACACATATAAGGTACTTAGTTTATAAGTCACCTCTACTTTTGTTTTTTATTATTATTAGTTTTGAACATATTTTAAATACAGTTAATTAACAGACCTGATAACGGAATTCTTATTATTTATAGATAAGCATTTACATTGAATTATTAATGAAAAAAAAATCGATAAAAAATAAATTGAAAAGTTCTTATTTTTTATGTCTTTGAATTTCCATAATGTGCCTATTATTATTTTTTATGACCGTTGTAGGTTGACAAGAATACGACCCACCTGTTGGTGAGTGGTCACAGTCGTTCATGGACATCAGCAATACCAGAGGTACAACCAAGCCGCTCCCTAAAATTAGGATTTCGTTTGGTCGATATTTATATTTTCACATTTACAGCCATCGTTTTTAACCACAACGCCACCCTTCATGTTAACGCTTTTGGAAAACAAAGGCAGATGCGACTTTAGCAGCTTTGAAAATATCCGTCTCGGTGGTTGTGCTGTAACAACAAACATGTTAGAGTATATAATGGTAAGTAAACTACATATTTTTGTTAAAACTTTAAGATAAAATGACTCCTTAAGCCTGGTAGTAGATATTTCTAGATACGGTTCCTTAGTCCGTTTGAACCCATAGACACAGCCCACTGAGTTTCTCGCCGGATCTTCTCAGTGGGTCGCGTTTCCGATCTGGTGGTAGATTCTACGAAGCACTGCTCTTGTTAGGGTCAGTGTTAGCATCACTCCGGTTTGAGCCCCGTGAGCTCATCTACTAGTTAAGGTTACTCTGAAATAGCCTATCAAGGCTATCAGATTGAGGAAGAAAAAAAAATAAGGTCCGTTAGACGTTTCACAGTTACATGAGCACTTAAGTCCGCTACAAAGATAACACCAACACCCGATCTTCCAAATCAATTCAATTCAAATCAAATCAAAATATTCAATCAGGTAGGCGTTTTCAGAGAATCTACTTTTCGACCGATTGGGAGCTTCCGAAGGTTCGCTATTAACAAGAATCATCAAGAAACTATTTTCCACATGCTTGTACAACACAAAAAAAATTTACAAAAAACTTTAATATGGTCTTTAAGGAAAAACTCTGTTTTTTTCCTCTATCTAGTCATTGGGGAGCCTAAGGGGCTATTCCCTCATGGAGCGTTAGGTGAGATCACGGGCTCAACCTGAAAGAATTGCTAACCCTGACCTTATCAAGATCAGGGCTTTGCTGAACATACCAACGAATCGGTGAATGGGTCAAGTCCCCATTACTGGGCAATGGCCAGCGATCTGCTCAGTATTGTGTTCGTATGGACTACAGCTCCAAACTAATCTCAGTTATAGTAGAATAATATAATATAATATCGGTCTAAAAACTGGCACGGGTGAATGGTTCGCTGCATAAATATATCGAACAATGGCGGGCTCAAGATGAATGACGGGTAATTAGAAACTCGAGAAGACTGAGATTGCCCTGAGAAATACCGTGCCAAAGATTTTCGTTTAGAGCAATCTACATAATTTTTTTGACCTATTTATGTTTTATTTTTAACTCACAGAAATCATTGCCACACGCAGAAATATCGATTGGGTACGGACTGAGTGAGGCTGGAGGGGGCCGTGTCTTTATGAATCGTTCGCATCCTCTTGGATCTATTGGACAACCCGTTGGAATATTTAACTATCGCGTAAGTTCCTAGCGTATAACTTTAAACTTTCAGCTCAATCCGAAACTTAGTGATGCGTTATTATATTAAATGAAATCTATTAATGTCATAATAAAAATAATAAAAACGTTCGGAAAACCGGTCAATAAACATGTAATGCAGGTAATAAAAGATTTAGGCTTTTATTAACACTGTAGACATAATAATTTGTATCTCTGTAGAAGGTAGGTTTTCTTGAATTATTTAAAGTAGACACCGATTCACTAGAAGAAATATAAAGACGAAAAACTACCAAGTATTTACTGTGGTTATTCATTTTTACAACCCCAGTGAGCTACTTTTTTTTGCATGGACGGTTGACGAAATCGTAAACCCCTGGTAGTGGATACTGGAGTCCACTAGGCAGCGTAAATTCTGCCATTCACCCCGAGACATCAGTGTGCCTAGTACGAGTTTTTTAACGTTCTCGATAGTGTAAAAGTTTACTCAAATTTGTATGGAACGTTGGACGTTAAAAAAAAAAGGGGGCGCGCTGTTCCAAATGCATACAAATTTGAGTTAACTTTTACGCTATCGAGAACGTTGAAAACTCACACTAAATACAGAGATCGAAGTCTTAATAATTATAATAATAATAATAATAATAATAATAATGTTTTTATTTCAAGTATCCATGACTCATATAAATTGTTAATAAGACTTAGACCTGTGTTAGTAGTTATATTTACATCACAATGAATTACTGTGGTAACATTATAAAGTACAACAAATGAAACATTGATCATAATTAATAATAAATAACATTCAGAACATCTTTACGGGCTAACAACAATACGACTTACTTCCGTCCTAATATCTATTTTGGACATTGGCGTGTTTAGCATTTCCTAAATTATTCATATTTTAATACTGCCATTTTTGTATTTACCAGCTGATTGACATCGAAACGCAAAAAGACATATTAGAGCCCAACGTACAGGGTGAATTATGGCTGAAGGGACCCGCCATTTTTAAGGTAATGTAAGAATGCTGGTGGTGAAAGATAACAGTGTAAGCCTGGCAATAGTATAATTGGTTTTCTCTAAGCCGACAGAAAAATCCGTAGAGTTTCATTTTTTTACTGCTTGGTTGGGTAACCGAGCTCACAGCCCGTTGTTCTGTGGTCATCTGAGCCCAAAGTCATCAACAAGATAAGTGCCACATCCCACGTTCGCATATGAATTCTAAATCTCAGTTTTACAATACAGCAGCTGCCTTGCCCTGCACAGCAATACGCATTCATTCGCAACAGAAATAGGCAGGGTAGTAACGACTACCCATGCGGGCCCACAAGACCCTATGGTGGTAGGGTAGTAACGGAATTAAATCGTCAAATCAAATCTTAGCGATATTTCGTGAACGTGCTTTAAATACGTACTTCCTTACAATAATCAATAACTGGCTGCGAGATTTGAACACCGACAGTCGCATCGCTTGATACGAGTACTTTTTTCCCTACCTAATTGTGGGTAGCCAACTTCAACCGGACCAGTAGGTGAGCTCACGGGCTCAACCTGAGAGAATTGCTAACACTAGCCCTAGCAAGAGCAGTGCTACACTGAGTATACTACCGGATCGGAATCGCGACCCACTGAGAAAATCCGGCGAGAAACTCAGTGGGTTGTGTCTATGGGGTAATAACACGAGTACGCCGAACACAGAGGACATAATTTTTTTATTTTAATAGATAAAGATAGTCAGATTAACTATGATTTGAGAAATAAGATGTTGCAAACTTGCTTTTTATCTTGTTCCTTTAAAAAAATTACAGGAATATTACAACGACCCTGAGAGCACAAAGGAAGCATTTTCAGAAGATGGCTGGTTAAAAACTGGCGATATTATGTACCGGGATGAGCACTTTAATTTTTACTTTGTAGATCGACTAAAGTTGTTGATTCATTACAAGAATCATCAGGTAAGAAATTCAGTTATTATTTTGCAGATTCTTCAGTACTTCGAAAAAAGTAGTCGTGGGATTTTATAGAACACTAGCGGCCCGCTCCGGTTCCGCTCGGGTCTTTAACAAAAATTTCAACGATATTTAACGTTGTTTTATTTTTTTAAACAAAAGAACATTTATTGCGGCATAACTATAATAGTTAGACATATGCAGTCGCGACACTTTTTGTAAATAATAATGTGTTCTACAAAGTCGTAGTACATTATTTTATTCTATCATCAACAGTTTTCGCAGGGCACGCAATGTAAAGAATATTTTAGGTATTTTTTTACACCTAGGGTTACATTATTGGAGTTTTAGTAAAGATCCCTAATTTTTTTCAAAAAGATTATAGCTTGTCACTCGGGAATAGTGTAGCTTCCAAACAGTGAAATAATTTTTCAAATGGGTCAGTAGTTTCGGAGCCTATTCAATACAAACAAACAAACAAATCTTCCTCTTTAAAGGTAATATTAGTATAGATAAGAATAGTAATTATAGCTAGACTCCTGAATCATCATTCCGATTCCACACTAAAACTTACAAACACTTCATGCACCATACAAACACTAGCTTTGCGGGAATGGATCATAGCATTATATTCAAAACACAACTATGAAACACTCGTATCTCANCCACGGATCCTCATCCAGCGTCTCCAAGAGACCCTCCATGTGTTGGTTCTTGGCTCTTCTGATGGCCAGCTGCAATGCCCTCTGCGCGACGCGAAATGCGCCGTGCAGCCGGGCCTCTGCCGCCGCGAACGCAACCGGATCGTTGCGCCGCGGCAGGCGGCGGCGGCGATGCCTGGCGCACTCGCGCCTCGCCCGAACGCATTCCACGCGGAGTTGCGCAATTTCGGGCGACCACCAGTACGCCTGGCGATTAGGGAGTCGAGGGCCGATCGGGGGCATCGACGCATCGTGTCCCGGAACCACCCTGCCTCTCCCTCGACCCTGAGCGAAGTTCGCCCACGGTCACGCTCTCCGGGGCACATCCCCCCTGGGTGGCTATTGCGGCTGCCACCTCCTCCTTGGTGGCGCAGTCGTCCAGGCCGGTGACCCTAATCTCGGCCATCCTCACCGGCCTATGCACGCGCACCTCATCCTCCGGCAGTGCCACGCGGAGCGTCGCCAGTAGTTTGTCTGCGATGCCAGAACTATCGGCACCGGGACACTCCAGCAGCTTCGCTCCATTGGCTGTGTGCCGGAGGCGGAGGCCCTCCTCCGCCCAGATTTCATCCAAACTTACGGCCGCGCGCGCCCTGGCCATCACCTCATTATAGGTGAGGCCCTTTTCGGCGGCGGCCGGCAGCAACGTCACTACGACGGCAGCCGACCGCGCTGCGCACGGCCTCTTCTTTTTGTTCTTCTTCCTGGCTGCCAGTGCTCGATTCTCACGAGGAGCAGCCACGGCTGCCAGCTCTGTGCTTCGGGCTGCCGTCGGCGCTCGACCCCCTCTGGGAGCTGCCAGAGCCGCTGTCTGCTGCCTTGCTTTCTTGCCCCGCTTCACCACTTCCGTCCAGCCCTCATCCATGCTTGACGGGGGAGCAGGAAGGGGACGGGGTTGGGATTTCGGGACAGGATTCTGGGCACCCGTACCCTTGTTGTTTTGGTCCCGGCCTCTACGCCGGGCCAACCTCGCGGATGGAGTGGGGATAGAGGTCGGCCGGGTGGCCTGGCCCCGCGGGGCGGCTGCGGCTGTTGGAGCCGGGATGCGATCTCCGGAACCAATCGAGGAACGGAGCATCTCCTCGAGGCCGGCAAAGTGCTTGCCGACCTCAACCGCCACCACCCGCGAGATACAGGCCACCATTTCTCTCTGCTTGGGAGGGAATAGTCCACCTCCACCATCCCAGCAGCCGTGTTGTGTGGCCCGCGAGCCTGCAACAACGCAGCACGCGAGGGCGAAAGAGGCGGCGGTAGCGCCGGCCACTCATCCACCATCTTCGCCAGTGGCGAACGGATGTCTTCAGCCCGCGCTGGCGCAGGGCTTAGCCTTCCTCTCCGTGTAGACGCAGGGGCGGCCGATATCCGCGGAGGCGGCGCAGGCCTTAACTCAACCCTACGTGGAGGGCGAGGGAGCGCGGGGCTAGGTGCTAGCGGGACAGGGGCCACAGGATTGGGCTCTGGAATTTGCGCCGTCACACTCACAGCGGACCGCAAGTGCACGTCAGTATCCATCGCCCCCGCGGGGGGGCCAGAGCGTGCCAGCGGCGGCCTCGGCAACAGGGGAGGCCCTCCCCGCAAGGCCGGGGTGTCTCCCGAGATGCGACTCTCTCTGGAGTCACAATGAGCGACAAGATCTTTGCTCTCCACCTCTCGGCTCTCTACCAAGTCATAAAGCTTGGACATGGTGGGGATCAGCTTTGTTCTCACCATAGCGGCTGCCTCCCGGAGCCGTTTCCGGTAGCTGCTGCCTGGCTCGGCGCCCTTGGCAGCCACAGTCGACAGCAGCTTACCCAAATTGACCAGTGCAAGGTCGAGGTCCCGGAACGTCTCGTCCCCGCTAGCCAGGGACGCGGCCGACGTCGACATCGACTCCACGGACGTCGCCGGTGACACAGCGCCCCTCCTCCTCACTGGTACCCACTGGGGAGCGGGCATCGCGTCTTCCGCCGTAGCAGGCCCCGAAACCACCGGAGTCACCTCCTCGAAGGCCATCGCTTTTCCGGCACCTCAGTGCCAGAGGATGATGCGCCGCTATCATCGGAAATTGATAATGCCGTCTTTCTTCTCCCCCTCTTTTTCCCCGCCGGTGGTTTGGTGGGATTGATTATACCCGAGTCGCTGGCGAGCGCATCGAGCCGGCGATCGGGGAACACCTTGGTTCGACGGGATTTTCGCTGCCCGTCGCACAGCCCCCTTCATCCTGACATTTGTTGCCCCCCCCAGAGTACGTGGGGCAGCGTGCTTCCACTGAGGTGGAAACACGGAGGGATTCTCCGCCCGACTCGCGGGCGGTACCCTCCTGGGGTACAAACTTTTTACAATGTGCCATCATATATTGCCTTTTTATTAACCAGGGGTTTGGTCCCCTGGGATCTATGACACCCTCGGGACTGGAAACCCTCCAGCCATACATCCCATCGCCGGGTGTCGAGCTTGGGATTAGGGCATTTTTGAAGAGGTTTGCATCCTCGCGGCTTCGATCAGTAAAGGCAGAAGCCCCCGTTCCCCATGACTGGGGTTTACGGTTTGGCCGACGGTGGCCGAAGCCTGTCCATCGCCCACAACGCGGTGCGGAGCCACGCCGGCGAACCGGTACCTCCCATATCTGGAAGGCTTTCCCCTGTAGCCGAAGCCGGGGACATGGCAACCCGCAGCCGGAAGACATCAAAGTGCCGCTGGCTCACCAGGCTCCCGAGAACCAACCCCTCATCCCCAGAATGGAACTCTTTGTCAGTGCAAAGGGCGTGGGGAGAAGGTCCCTCGCTCCCTCTCAAGGCATCCCCCGCAGAATGCGAAGGCGGCCGAAGAGAGCTGGGCGCAGTTCTCTTGGTCGCGGCGTCCCACACAGATTCCTCTGCACGCGATTTTAGGGACGCACGCTTAAGCCCCACCGCCACGACAAGGCGGAACTACATTCGGTGGGGGTGTGCAATCACTTAGGTGGATTTCGCAGTAAAAGTTTGTACGGTGAACGGGTTTTGGTCAATTTTTTGACGTTTCGCGCCAGCTAGAGGGTCGTGCCCTAAACTAATCTCAGTTATAGTAGAATAAATATACCGGTCTAAAAACTGGCACAGGTGAATGTTTCGCTGCAGAAATATATTGAACGTTGGTGAAATTCAAGAAAACTGAGATTGTCCTGAGAAATACCGTGTCGAAGATTTTCGTTTAGAGCAATCTACATAAAAAAAATTCACCTATTTATGTTGTATACCTATATATTTTTCACTCACAGAAATCATTGCCACACGCAGAAATATCGTTTGGGTACGGAATCACTGAGGCTGGAGGGGGCCGTGTCTTTATGAATCGTTCGCATCCTCTTGGATCTATTGGACAACCCGTTGGAATATTTAACTATCGCGTAAGTTGCTAGCTTAAAACTTTATAACGAAATTTTACCTCAATAATTAACACTGTAGACATAATAAGTTGTATCTCTGTAGAAGGTGGGTTTTCTTGATTTATTTAAAGCAGACACCGATTCATTAGTAGGTACCAATGTAAAGATGAAAAACTACTAAGCATTTATTGTGGTTATCCATTTGTTACAATCCCGGCCAGCTATTCCACTAGGCAACGTGAACTCTCCCATTCACCCCGAGACATCAGTGTGCTCGGTGCGAGCTTTTAACGTTCTCGATAGCGTAAAAGTTAACTCAAATTTGTACGGAGTTGGAACGTTTGACGCTAGGGGCGCTGTTCCAAATACATACTTTGAGCTAACTTTTACGATATTGAGACCGATTAAAAACTCGCACTAAGCACACAGATCGAAGTCTTAATAATTATATAGTACAACAACTGAAACATGGAGAATAATGTCATACATCCTTATATCTATTTTGGACATTATTGGTTATTGAGGTGTTTAGCATTTCCCAAATAATTCATATTTTAATACTGTCATTTTTGTATTTACCAGTTGATTGACGTCGAAACGCAAAAATACATATTAGAACCCAATGTACATGGTGAATTAGGGTTGAAGGGACCCTCCATATTTAAGGTAATGTAAGATGCTGAAGGTAAAAAATAAAAGTGAAGCCTGGCAATAGTAGAATTTGTTTTCTCTGAGCAGACAGAAAAATCCGTGGAGTTTCATTTTTTTATTGCTTAGTTGGGTAGCCGAGGTCACAGCCTGTTGTTCTGTGGTCACCTGAGCCCAAAATCATCAACAAGATAAGTGTCACTAGCAACGTTGGCATATTAGTTCTAAGTCTCAGTTTTACAGTATAGCGGCTGCGCCACCCTGCACAGCAATTCATTCAACAATTCATTCGCGGCAGAAATAAGCAGGGAAGTGGCGACTACCCATGCGGGCCCACAAGACACTCTGGTGGTAGGGTAGTAACGTAATTACTCAAATCGTAGCGATATTTCGTGAATGCGCCTTAAATACGTACTTCCTTACAATAATCAATAACTGGTTGCGATATTTGAACACCGACAGTCGCATCGCTTGATACGAGTACTTTTTTTCCTACCTAATTGTGGGTAGCCTAAGGGCTATTCAAACTTCACCCGGACCAGTAGGTGAGCTCACGGGCTCAACCTGAGAGAATTGGTGACACTAGCCCTAGCAAGAGCAGTGCTACACTGAGTATACTACCGGATCGGAATCGCGACCCACTGAGAAGATCCGGCGAGAAACTCAGTGGGTTGTGTCTATGGGGTAATAACACGAGTACGCCGAACACAGAAGACATTAATTTTTATTTTAATAGATAAAGATAGTCAGATTATTATGATTTGAGAAATAAGATGTTGCAAACTTGCTTTTTATCCAGTTCCTTTAAAAAAAATTACAGGAATATTGCAACGACCCTGAGAGCACAAAGGAAGCATTTTCAGAAGATGGCTGGTTCAAAACTGGCGATATTATGTACCGGGATGAGCACTTTAATTTTTACTTTGTAGATCGACTAAAGTTGTTGATTCATTACAAGAATCATCAGGTAAGAAATTCAGTTATTGTTTTGCAGATTCTTCAGTACTTCGAAAAAAGTAGTCGTGGGATTTTATAGAACACTAGCGGCCCGCTCCGGTTCCGCTCGGGTCTTTAACAAAAATTTCAACGATATTTAACGTTGTTTTATTTTTTTAAACAAAAGAACATTTATTGCGGCATAACTATAATAGTTAGACATATGCAGTCGCGACACTTTTTGTAAATAATAATGTGTTCTACAAAGTCGTAGTACATTATTTTATTCTATCATCAACAGTTTTCGCAGGGCACGCAATGTAAAGAATATTTTAGGTATTTTTTTACACCTAGGGTTACATTATTGGAGTTTTAGTAAAGATCCCTAATTTTTTTCAAAAAGATTATAGCTTATGTCACTCGGGAATAGTGTAGCTTCCAAACAGTGAAATAATTTTTCAAATGGGTCAGTAGTTTCGGAGCCTATTCAATACAAACAAACAAACAAATCTTCCTCTTTAAAGGTAATATTAGTATAGATAAGAATAGTAATTATAGCTAGACTCCTGAATCATCATTCCGATTCCACACTAAAACTTACAAACACTTCATGCACCATACAAACACTAGCTTTGCGGGAATGGATCATAGCATTATATTCAAAACACAACTATGAAACACTCGTATCTCAGAAATGTAGCCATTTTAATTATATATTTGTATGAGATTCACTTACAGCCAGCCAGCCTTAGCCGGTGATTTTCGTTGCAATAAAAAAAAAGTTATCAACTACTTATTAGATATCACCGCTTGAAATAGAGAAGGTCATTCGCCAGCATCCGGGTGTGTTGGACGTCATAGTCACCAGCGTCACGGACGTCCAGCGCGAGGAGCTGCCGTGCGCTTGTGTCGTGCTTAAAGATGGACATCGCGTCACCGAACAGGAAATCAAGGACTTGGTTCAAGGTAAGCATTATAAAATTAATAAATCGATAGAGCACTTAGAGGTGTTTCACGAGCATTAATTCGCTGGGGATGCTCGGATTTGCGGATTTGTGGGCAACCATGCAAAAGAATTACCTTTTCCCCAAGAAATGACACTATAGATATCCCAATGCCCTGCTTCGTCATTGGTTCTCTTTCGTTCGCCACATCGTGGCAGATGATTTTATTTGCGACGAAAAAAAACCTTCTTACTTAATATTTTATTTTGTGTGTTTTATAGATTCGCTAACGGATCCAAAACAATTGAGAGGTGGAGTATTTTTCTTAAAGGAAATGCCCACGAATCCACAACTGAAAATCGACAGAAGAAAAATAAAAGAATTCGTTATTAATTCATTAGGCATAAAAAATTAATAAAATAAAAAATAAAAAAATTCCATTTATACATATCTACCTAGTCCAGGCATAGATTATGTTATAAACGAAAACGCATTTTTTTAAACAAAGTAATATAATATTATTAAAATTTATACCTAATTTTTTTTTTACTTAGACAGGTGGACGGGCTCCAAGCCCACTCTTAAATGGTTACTGGAGCCCATAAACATCTACAACGTAAATGCGCCACCCACCTTGAGATATAAGTTCTAAGGTCTCAAGTATAGTTACAACGGCTGCCCTACCCTTCAAACCGAAACGCATTACTGCTTCACGGCAGAAACACGCAGGGTGGTGGTACCTACCCGTGCGGACTCAAAAGAGGTCCTCCCACCACTAACTATGCAAATTAAAATTTTTGCGGGTTTGATTTTTATTACACGATGCTATTCCTTTACCGTGGAATTCCTTATTTTATTATAAAAATTGATACCCGCCTGCGGGATTCGAATACCATCGCTACATACAAATGCACCGGACGTCTTATCCTTTAGGCCACGACGACTTTTTTAATAAAGTTTTTACTAAATAATTTATTAAAGTATATTAAGTTTAAGTATTATTAAAGTACTTTATTAAAGTCTCAACAAAAAATTAAAAATATTCTATTCGAAATGGCCACCTGTAGCTTTTATACAGGCATTTAATCTGTTTGGCCACGAATCTGTGTATTTGCGCACTGTTTCCAAGGGAAGTTTCGCCACTGCTTGCTACAAAGAATTTTTAAGAGACTCAATGTCGCCGTGTCCTTTGGAGTAGGCCATGTTCTCTAAAACTGACCATAATTTGAAGGGTCTGGGCTAGATGAGGGCCAGTCTTCAGCTCTTATAAAGTCCGGAACGTTGGTTTCAAGCCAGGCTTGGGTAGTTCATGCCTTGTGACCAAGCATATGCTCATGTATATGCAGAGTCCTGCTGGAAAGTTCACCGTATATTTTTAAAAAGTGTATTGATGAGAGGTTTCGCAGCATGATCCAAGACTGTATCTTGATACACTTTGGCTGAAGTTTTTACTCCTTTTTCACAAAAATGTAGTTTTGTGACTCCTTGATAAGACGCCCCACCAAACCATCATCGACGCAGGATGATGACCACGTTGTACCTTTCCAACCACTTCAGCAACTTCTTTAGAACTGTGAGCGTACACTTTATCATTTTGCGTATTGTCTCTTCAATCGTGATTTTTTTTTCATCGGTAAAGAGGATATTTCTGTGCCTTTCACCTGCGTATCGCGACAGAAGGCGTTTTGATCGATCCACTCTCTTTAATTATTATTGTAAAGATTGATTTAGGGTATGTCCTGTATATCGACGTTAAGCAGCGAGCTTCAGGTCTTGTTTTATAATACGCGACAGAGTCCTAGCGGGAATCTACAACTATACTTGAGACCTTAGAACTTATATCTCAAAGTGGGTGGCGCATTTAAGTTGTAGATGTCTATGGGCTCCAGTAACTACTTAACACCAGGTGGGCTGTGAGTTCGTCCACCCATCTACGCAATAAAAAAAAACTTCATTTCTTGCGATAAAAGTTTCTGCTTCCTAATGGGGTCTTCCGAATTCTGGCTTTAACCGCATTAACAGCCTTTGTAATTCTAATAGCACGCGGCCGCCCAGATCTTTTCTGGTCTTCGACAGACGAAGTGTTGTTGTATCTGTTGATGTTGATAGTACGTTATACGAACATACGGCTGATACCAAGCTTTTGAAGTGTCTGGGAAATGACCAACGACGGCTCCATACCCACTTTGTGCAAGGCGATCACTGCAATCCTATTTTCTTTAACACCCCATTCCATATTATAATTTGATAATGAGCACGAAAATATAAAAATATGAAATGGCGCAAAATCGAAAGAAGTTTTTAAAATAATATACGTGTTCCAAATTAAAATAATTAAAAAAATGAAAAAAAGAAAGTTTTTATGTAACAGTATCTATGGCCAGACTAGTTATAATGTTTGTGGATTATAACGATTATCCACCTGATAAATTTTAGACAGAAACATATTGTAGGTACCGAATACGTATGTATATTTTTATGTTTAAGTTCAAAAACCCAAAGCATAATATTTAACACATCTAACATATTATTATATTGGTATAATAAACAATATTATTTACCGTTACACGCTGAGACTTTTATTTTTAATACCTTAGTACCAATATCGTATTTCGTTTCGTATTCTAAAGGCTAGAACAATAATTTGAAAACAAAAAAACGCAGGAACAAAGATGTTTCGTTGTGACGAAAATACTAAGAGATTTACAATGATTTAGTTTTGTTTCTATTGCTCGAATGGGTGGAGGAGCTTAAGGCCCCACCTGGTTACCGGTGCCCTTATACATCTACAACGTAAATGCCGCCACATGCCTTGCGATATGAGTTGTAAGGTCTCATTTTTTAAAGTACAACGGCTGCCCCACTCTTTAGACCGGAACACATTACTGCTTCACGACAGAAATAGGCAGGGTGGTGGTAACTACCCCACTTTGATAAAGCGGCACGACACGAGAACCCTCCCATCGTGGCCGCCCGAAACTACATTCCCGATCCTGCGGACAGAATGGAAAGCAGTCGACGTCGCCCAAAACACGTCATTTCGGATCCTCCCGATCAACTAACGGTGCTTTTAGGTACATCAAGTACCGGTCATCGTACTCGTCGAACCCGTCGCTTGCGACGAAGGGCTCGACGAGCAAATTTACCCTCAGATACAGCCCACTGAGTTTCTCGCCGGATCTTCTCAGTGGGTTGCGTTTCCGTTCCGGTGGGAGATTCTGCGAAGCACGACTCTTGCTAGGGTTCGTGTTAGCAACGTCGTCAGGTTTGAGCCCCGTGAGCTCACCTACTAGTTAAGGTTACGCTGATACAGCCTCTCAAGGCTATCAGCTTAGGTAGGAAAAAAAAAGGTAACTACCTGTGCGGACTCCAAGATTTCCTACCAACAGTAGATAATTACGCAAATTATAATTTTTCGGGTTTGATTTTTCTTACACGACGTTATACCTTCGCCGTGGAAGTAAATCGTGAATATTTGTTAAGTACGCATTTCATTAGAAAAATTGGTACCTGCCTTAGGGATTCGAACACCGGTGCATCGCAAAATACGAATGCACTGGACGCCTTATCCTTTAGGCCACGATGACCTAACGTTGCTCGAAGCGAACACCTCAATCCCACATTGTTCTGTGGCGTACAGCACAAACGTGACAATTGGGATTCTCCTCGCAAAGCAAAGAGTTTATATTATCGTCTTTACGTAAAACTTATGACCAATTTTCCTGCTGTAAAAAAGTATTCTTTTTTGTATGCGTGCGTCATCGCTTTACAACTACGGCCCTGGTAAAACGTTCATATTTATCGTCGGCACGGCTAACACATAAATGATATTAGAATAACAAATTTGACACCACTTTGAAGAAGTGATTTGAACGCGACAGTAATAACACGGCGGTAATAGAAAAGTAGGTTATCTGTGAACTATTTTATTTGTAATATTAATAATTTCGTTTTTAAGTTTGATACGATTTGTAGAATATGTTTATTGAGTAATTGTTACAAAGTCCGCCACGGACGTGAATAACATTATAACACACACTGTGATAAAATAAGAGAGCGGAATTTTCCATTATTTTTTTCTTCTTAATACGTTAATTGTCAAGTTTAATTCATGATTCTCCAAACCGTGAGAAACTTAGCTTTATAACTGTAGCAAAAATATGCTGTGCACGGTTTAATGTGTATTAGTGTTTACATCATCATCAATTATGAATTGAATCAATAAGAGAATTATATCTTAAAATTGTTTAAATAGATAACGATGTATAAGAACTAATTGTATTTTAAATTACTCAATTCGATTTGTCAAAATTATAAATATCCCCTGTGCTTTCATGCCGACTATGTAAGGTAGCGTTTCTTAGAAAACTTTCAGGAAATGGGGTTTATTCCGTACATACACTCTACGGACAACGTCAGTTGGTTCGTTGATGATCTGTCCTCGCGAATCGTCGCTCAGACCGGTACCCCGACTGATCGATATCACCTCGGCAAATTGATATTGCAGGGCTTAAAAGATGACCCGGATTTCGTTTTGCAGGTAAATCATTTTATGTTTATATAAAAAAATTAAATTATTCGCGTAAATTCATTCGCGAAGCAGCTGCCCTTGAGTTGTTAGGTCTCTCGGACAGTTGTCAGAAAATCCCATTCCTTCTGGCTGAGCTTTTGCTCGCCCACCTGTCCTGGTGAAACTGAAAAGACCTCGGCGCCACCAGTTATAAAATAAAAATAAATAAAAATAAAAATAAAAATAAAAATAAAAAACTTTTATTTCAAGACTAAAGTCTCATATTGTGTTAGTATTACAAATAACTTATGAACTATGTTAGTATTTAAATAAACCAATCAACTCCGTCCCTGGCAGCCCCATCAAGCAGCATGTAGAACATGCAACTTGATGAACCTACCCAGGGTCGGGCCATCCAGTCTTTCAGCTAGTACCCTCAAGACGTTNTGGAACTCTTTGTCAGTGCAAAGGGCGTGGGGAGAAGGTCCCTCGCTCCCTCTCAAGGCATCCCCCGCAGAATGCGAAGGCGGCCGAGGAGAGCTGGGCGCAGTTCTCTTAGTCGCGGCGTCCCACACAGATTCCTCTGCACGCGATTTTAGGGACGCACGCTTAAGCCCCACCGCCACGACAAGGCGGAACTACATTCGGTGGGGATGAAGGGGACAGTTAATGTTTTTTTTTATTATTTCTTAGATGGGTGGACGAACTCACAACCCACCTAGTGTTAAGTGGTTACTGGAGCCCATGGACATCTACAACGTAAATGCGCCACCCACCTTGAGATATAAGTTCTAAGATCTCAGTATAATTACAACGGCTGCCCCACCCTTCAAACCGAAACGCATTACTGCTTCACGGCAGAAATAGGCAGGGCGGTGGTACCTACCCGCGCGGACTCACAAGAG